CCAGTTTTTATTTGCATGTCATCCATGTCGTAGAAAAGGAATATTCTCTGTTTAAGAATTGTCAAAAATATGTCACAGCAATTTTATTTTGTTGTTGTTGAATGCCGCACTCAGCAATATTCACGCTATATGACAGCCGTCTGTAAATAATGGAGACCAGACAGTCCAGTGATTTTTGTCATGAGCATTGATCCTCACAATTGGGTTACGATGACATGCATCAACCAAGTCAGTGAGCCTGGCCACCCGATCCCGTTATTTGCCTCTTGCGACAAGCATGGGTTGCTGAAGACCCATTCTGACCCAGATCTTCACAGGGCTTCGGGGCTATGTGATGTATAGATGCAATATTGCATAAAGGAGCATTCTCTCACCATCACCTGCAGTGGGTATTTCGTTTAGAATTTAGGAAACAGGTAATTTATTGGATTGGGTGGTAAAACTTGGCCATCTGGATGATTGTGTGCTATGGTACCCCGGCAGCATTGATCGTGCTCATAATATCGATCAATGGTTCGTCTCAGCTATTTACAGGCCCTGTCCTATGGCTGGAATATTGCTAGTGCAGTATTAAACAAACAAACAAACAAACACAGCATTGTTTTAGATCATCATGTTCACCTTCTTACCAGTGGTCAGTTTGAGGTATCTCATTAACTCTTGACCTGTGCCTTCTCAAGTAGCCATCCCCCTCTCCCCAGGTGTACATGCATGTGGCTGGACACACTGGTCAGTGACAGTGACCAATGGCCGGACTGATGGATGGCTGCAGGGAGCGGTCAGTCTAAATGGGCAATAACACCTGATATCCCCCACTTACCATGCCTGACATTCTCCAGTGTCAGTGACAGTGCCACATACCTGTCATTGTTTCAGGGATACGGAGAAGTGAGAGACACATTAACATACCATGTGAAGGAATGGGGGCAGGGCAACAGGAATCTGTCTCGGAGTCCCTGGACCATGTTATGTTCCATCCCACCTAGCCCCCAGCCCTTACTGTAATGCTATAATCCTATATGAAGCACAGGTGTTTTCCACAGGTGAAGATTTCGGGGTAGAATAGGTCTTCAGCAACCCATGCTTGCCCTAAAAGGCGACTATGCTTGTCGTAAAAGGCGACTAACGGGATCGGGTGGTCAGGCTCGCTGACTTGGTTTGATACATGTCATCGATCCCAATTGCGCGGATCGATGCTCTCACGATGTCAATCACTGGATTGTCTGGTCCAGACTCGATTATTTACAGACTATCGTCATATAGCTGGAATATTGCTGAGTGCAGCGTTAAACAACAAACAAACAAACAAAACACAGGTTATCTTCTTACTGGGGCTTCTTTTCAATTTAAATGTAGTGGCTTGTTTCTTTCAAAATTATGTATTTACAGAGACGAAGTCTAGACTATGCACGCTATGATTGTCTTTATGAATATCAGCTGGTATAATGATATGTTCATTGCGCATATCAGCTGGTATAATAATATGTTCATTGCGCAACTCGAACTGTCATCTATGGGCAGTCTTTTAGCAACATATTTAATCAATCTGTCCCTAATATGAAGCAATGAAGCTGAGAAGACAAGACTAAAAGTCAACAGGCGACTAACAGGGTCGGGTGGTCAGACTCGCTGACTTGGTTGATGCAAGTCATCGTATCCCAATTGCATAGATCGATGCTCATGATATCAATCACTGGATTGTCTACTCCAGACTTGATTATTTACAGACTGCCGTCATGCAGCTGAACATTACTGACAGCAGCGTTAAAATTGTGTGGAGAGGCTTCAATAATCCAATATATTCCAGATGAGAATTAGGCAAATGAGTGTGTAGAGCAGGTGACATGACCTGAAATGTGATCCCCTTCATGTAACGGGATCAACATGGTGGGTCAGGACTTTGGTGAAGAGAGAAATTCATTAATAATATTTTGTGTGATGGAACTCTGTATGCATACCCATGATGGTAGTGGAAATAGCTGGTGGAGTTTTCATCCACATGGCCGAGTGTGTTTCATGTTAATTTAGTTCATTTAAAACATGTGGTAATCATCCTACAGCCAGCTTTGATGTGAGTGAGGGTTTACTATGTTGTAGCACTATCATGGGGAAACACAAGCAATGGACTTCTTCTTTGTACTACTGTTGGGAATAGAACCCTAGTCTTGGTGTGCCAGACATGTGCTTCAACCACTGTGCTATCTCAGCCTGTCTGTGCCATAGCAGGGATTCCCTTGGAAGATGAACTAGGGAAAAACAGTTTTGTTTTAGCTTGGGATTTTTTAATCCTTTTTTTTTTAATTCATCGTATTTCATCGCCTAGAGACTCTTCATTTGCAGTAATCTAGACTTGCCAAACATTATAGACTTGCATTGGCTGGTTTGGATATATTTGTATCAGGGTCAGATCTTTCCCTTCAGTGGCAGATTGAGTGTGTGTGTGTGTGGGTGTGGGTATGGGTGGGTGGGTGGGGCCACCACCCTTTTTCAAACGTAACTATGGTAATCCCCCAACATAGAAGGATACCTACCATGATAATATGTTTTGCTGTTAAAGTACAATAAATAATGAATAATGGTTTACATGCTGTGGATCTGCCCAGCCCCCTTCTCCTAGACTCACATCAGGGTCTGTAAGACAGACTACCATTCTCCCAATGAGATGCACAACAGATATTATCTGCATCCATTCTCAATATTTATGCATATTAAATTCAATATTTTGCTTCCCGTAAAACCCTGGATATGTAAATCCTCAATTCCATGATAAACCATCAACACTACAAAGCCCCATGACTGAAATAGCCATGGCTATCTATTACACAGATTTTGATTAAATGTCCACATATGTGGGATACGACAACAGACCCAGGCAATGGTTGTAGCTACTTGTCTGAGATGCTTGTCAATTGAATGTGAGTTTTGTCGACACATGGTATCTCTTACACTTGGATACAGATGAGGTGGAATTGAGGACACGACCCCACTTGGTTCAACATGCTGGAGGAGTTATACTACATGTGGACTAGCGGGGGATAATGTTATACATTCATATGTATGGAGGCTGTTAGACTTGCACAAGTCTCTAAGGAAATGATCAATAGTTGAAACATATTTCCGAGATCATATTAATAATAAGAAGTTGTCTCTTTAAAAGAGTGGCATCCTGTCTATTTATCTAGACTTGTCAATTAATAAGATGGAGTTACTACACATACATGCGTATCATTCAGTATAGACTTGGAGCAAGGCTAGGATGCTGGATGTTGGCAGTGGTGTTGGTGTAGGGTCATCTCTGTGGGTGGTCAGGAAATATACTGATGGTCTGTCAGGGTCAATCTCTTGAATCTGAGTGGCGAGAAAAATAATTTGTTGTGGGGGTTCTTGCCACAAATAAAAAAAATGTGTGTATGTGTGCGATAATTGAATTTGTTGTTGTATTTCCTTTTATATTTATAAAAAATGAACTAAACATATAAAAGCTTGTGTAGGATCTGAGTTGTGGGAGACGAGAGAGCTTGTCCTGGGCCATGCATGTGGAATTTATATTATAGATATTTATTTTCTAAAAGCCTAGGCATGTCTAGATCAAACTAAACCATGTCTAGTTTCCTTGATTGAAAACGGCAGAAGAGGAAAGGTTCTTTTGAAGAAGAAAAATTACAATTATTTAAAAAAAAAAGTTTTCATAGACTATTATATCTATTATATCAATCAAAAGACAGAATAACCAAAAAACCTCTGAAATTATCTGACTAAAGAAAATGCTTCTTGTGGACATGTTGAAAATTAAAAACCTGAAAATAAAACTGACATACACCGATGTGTTGGAATATTTTATAAATTGACACGAATGTAAAGGATCAATTAATTACCTGAATTAGTGGGAATGATACAATTAAAATCAAACCAGATGACATGTTATTGTCGAGTATTTATTGAAAACTATTACAGTATGTTATCATGTGTTATCCAAGGGTTTTACGCCACACAATATATGTACGTCCAGTACTCACAAATGTTGAGATTGGATGCAGAAAAAAAATATACTGCATCCCAAGGGATGCACAATAATACCCACTGTACCTACAGCGCATCCAGAGCAGTTATGGGTGTCTGTTATTTCATCCATCAGTCATGACCACTGTCCACATGATCATTGATTCATTCAATCTATAAAGTAATTATCAAAATGTACAGTACGCTACAGAATTTCATTACTTTACAGGACCCTCATATTGCCTGCAGGGACCCTTGACATTAATTATTGGGGGTCCCCTGGACTCCTACTTTTGTAAGTCTAGGTAATACCAGACTTGTCTCATGTGTAGCACTTCCTAGTGGTGACAGCTGTTGAATGTAACACATTATCACCCAGTGTCTGTGGGAGATGTCCAGGTGTCTGGTCAGATTGGTCAACCGGACACCAGACCAGAGGTGCATACCCTGTAACCCATGGTAACAGGAGCCCCATACATGGCACATATACCCTGACACAGGGACACATTCCACCCGTCAATCTCGGTGGCTCCTTCCAGACAGCTGTTCCCATAGTCTGTCTGACAGACCCTGATACAAATATATATCAATTACAGCCCATGCAAGTCTATAATGTTTGGCAAGTCTAGATCGAAAATGAAGAGTCACCAGGCTCCTTTTTATTATATTTTTATTAAGATAACTGAACAACTGTTTTTTCCGTACGATATGTTCATTTCAGAGACTAGATGTTAGTCTGCTGTTCCCACTGTCTGTGTTTGTATAGTATTGTTTCGTTCCCCGACAGGCGTGAACTGCAGTGTGTTTGTTTCTACTTACATGTTCCTGCATAAGACCTGCATTTCATCTTCAGAGGTCCTGCAATAGCAGGCTTGTTCAAGAGGGGCAGGGTCTCAAAGGAGGATCTCCTTGACTAGCTTCACTGACATGTAGGATGACCTGGCATGAAAAGATCATTGTCACCCCGAGGGGTTTATATTGAAACAGGCCACATAGCTCAAATACACTTGCATAGCTTGACGCTAGGTAGGGACAGTAAGCTTGAGGTCGACAGCTTGTGTGGATACATTACATGAAGTAATACCGTAACTCCTGTGACTTGTGATAGACTTGCTGATGAATAGTTTATGGAGTTAATAGGAAATATTGTGTGACATTTTGTCAGTGTAGTCATCAGAAGAGGAAATAGTGAGACGCGTATTCATTAACCTTTAGTGTGGGATACAATCGTGTTGAATGGAAAATAGTTCTGTTCAGGATGAATGGCAGATAATGGCTGTCATGGTCTGGTATTGCTGAATGCATGATCAGGGGGGTATACCACAGGTACTGTGTGGAGATGTACTGTGTATACTGGTGTGTATTCTGGTGAGTGCTGGAACAAGGCCTTCACGCAGGTTTCTGAAGCCGATACACTGAGATGTGATTGCCTCCTGAATTATTGACTTGGCATCACACATGGGGAGTGCAGGCAGTGCACGGAACGGATCGTCACACCTCCAGGTGTTATCCCACAGTAAGACAGCTGCACAGATGATTGCCGTCACATTTATGTCTGCTGTATCTACTGTTACAAAAGATGCCCCGCAGCATTCATTGTGAGGTGTGAGTGATGCTGCGTCTCTGGCGACCTCGCAACCTGTGTGACTTGATTGATTGAAGACTCTTTTCCTCCAGTAGTCAGGCTTACATTTTTGCCTTTTGTGAGAAGGGGACTCTATGCTGACTTTTGTGAGAAGGGGACTCTATGCTGACTTTTGTGAGAAGGGGACTCTATGCTGACTTTTGTGGGAAGGGGACTCCATGCTGACTTTTGTGAGATGGGGACTCTATGCTGACTTTTGTGAGGAGGGGACTCTATGCTGACTTTTGTGAGAAGGGGACTCTATGCTGACTTTTGTGAGGAGGGGACTCTATGCTGACTTTTGTGAGAAGGGGACTCTATGCTGACTTTTGTGAGAAGGGGACTCTATGCTGACTTTTGTGAGAAGGGGACTCTATGCTGACTTTTGTGAGAAGGGGACTCTATGCTGACTTTTGTGAACCCTTTGACTTGTTTGCAAGACCTGATGGTAAAATAAGTGCATGTTGTTTTATGTCTGAGCTGAATGGACACTCACGCAACTGTGACTGACTTTTCAAGAAGATTGTCAATAGAACTGAAACGTGGTGATTAGTGATGCGCTCAGCACTCTAATGTTTTACATCAATGATTTATAGAAGTGCATCATACATACAAGACTGTTATGTCTTCCCAGTGGACACGTTTCAGTTTCCGGAAGGATGCCATTGAAGCTTAAACATTATGGCTTCAGAGAACTAACAGGGTCATCTGTTAGATGTTTTACCATGAGGACAGACTTACACTTAGAAGGATACAAAGACTAATAGTTTGGTTGGCTATGTGCCGCATAAGCAATTATCTGAGCAAGTTTAATTAAGGTCATCACAGAGAGATGTGATAGCTTGATTTACCAGTCAGTGCTGTGTGTGAAGCATTCATGGATGTAGGAGCATGGGTTGTATATCTGTCACAGTCATATCAGCCTACATCACCTTGAAGGAGGAACTATGATGTAAATGACTTGAGTGCAGTCTACCTAAAAGCTTTTATAGTAATTTAGAATGAAAAGACTGGCTTGAGTTACACAGCATACTGTCAGCGCCAAACTCGAGAAACATTGGAACTGAAATAATTCACCCTGACTGGTGTTATGAAAATTCTAAGGAGTCGGGAGTCTGAGGTGGAGATTGAAGACATGAAGTGTGTTTTGTACAAGCTTCACTCTCACTGACACAGATAAAGTGGTGTTAATAGTAGAGATAACATCAGCAGGGTGCTTCTAGCAAGTGGAATTTGGATTCTTGCAAGATACAAGGTGGTTTTGCAATCTTGCAAAATGCAAGATTTGTGAGGCTTTTTCCTGGTATTCAGGTCTATTTATATGCGATGTATGTTTATGCTTGTCTACGCAGTGAAGCACTGTCATCTTCATAAGGAGTTTACAAGAAATATAATACTGGAGGTGGAATCATCACTGACTGGCTTGATGTTGAAGGCAATATTCTGACCAAATACCATCTTTCAATGCTGAGAAGAATCTGAACTTGAGACGACTGAGACAGATTTGAACACAGTGTTGGAGTTCTACTGGTAATCACTGATTGGCTTGATGGCAATGGAAGTCGTCTTTTTTTAATGTTGTTTTTAAGAAAACTGTTTGACCAACACCTTTGTTGAGAAGAATGTGAAAGAGTTATAGACATAGGAAGAAGACAACTGAGACCAGACTCAGTTTGTCATCTACCTGCAGATGTTCATGAACCACCAGTTGAAGGATATCAGGCCTGTTGATGGGGTGTTGTGTTACTGGCATGGCTGCTGTGTATCTAGCTGTGTTGATTTAAGACTAATCTAGCACCAACTATTGTGTGGGCTACACTCACCAGATGGTCAGGCTCCTGTCCGCGGGATGTTCATCATATAAACTACCCAGTGTCAGCCCAGCCGACAGAGCTTCAGGCGGTGACCAGGGGCAGGTCGGGAAGATGCCCAGATGATGAGGGGAAGGATTCAGGGATCACTTGTTTGTTTTACTCATCACAGGACACACATGGCAACCAGACTGTGAACTGTGAAGGCTTGTGTTTGTCTATTGTTGAAGCTGTGTATGATGTAATAACTTCTTGGACACAGAGTTCCTATTTACCAAGGAATGATTCACTTGTCCATAAACCCATTGACGGAAATTATAATCTAGATGACTGACATTTTGTTTGTGAATGGTGGGCTGTGAGTTCTGTGTCAGCGAATCTGGTGATTTAGTATCTGGGAGAAAAGAATCAGGTGAAAAACTGTAAAGTGATTGTCAAAAATGAGATTTAGATGTCTGGTTCTGACATCACGCGTTGGGCGGCCATGCAACACAGGATCGCAACAGCAGCACCGTTGCACTGTGTGAAACTGCCACAGTGAAGTAAAAGTAAGACTTCTTTATGGGGGATAATAACGTGGATCTTGTTACCTGCCAGGCATGCTGACTGGATTACCTCAGTGGAGTATTCCAAAGGCTTGGAGAGAACATGCAATAGTGTGCGCTTAGACTGATGGATGAACCAATGGATACTTTGATGTCATACTGACGATGGATACTTTGATGTCATACTGACTTTGGATACTTTGATGTCATACTGACGATGGATACTGTTATGTAAAACTGACGATGGATACTGTTACTTCATACTGACAATGAATACTGTGATGTCATACTGTTGATGGATGTCATACTGACTTTGGATACTTTGTCATACTGACAGTGACTACTGTTATGTTATACTGACGATGGATACTTTGATGTCATAATGAAGATGGATACTTTGATGTCATACTGTTGATGGATGTCATACTGCTGATGGATGTCATACTGCAGATTGATAGTGAGCTGGTCTGATGACAGAGCCATACTGTTGTCCATCGACTTTACCCACCAGGTAGATGATATAAGTAAGGCATTTTAGCCATTGTCAATTGTGGACTTTCCACTTTGACAACACAGCTATTGTTCCATAATCAACTCCGGCCCTTGACCCAGGTGCATGTAACCTACAGACTCCCATGTGAAGAATGTTGGCATCCTTCAGAATGCATAGAGAATTTTTGTAATGTAATCATATGTTACAAAATTTTCACAGATTCTTAAAACAGTATTGCTCCTTTGGATCTGTTTGAACTTAAATCACGGTAATGAGGTGTTTGTGACGACAGTGGATGTATTCAACCTCATCAACAAGACATCTTCTGATTACCTCCAGGCCTTGTTCATCTGTGTAGGCCACTGTCAGGTGATAAAGTGGACCAGATTAAGACTGCTCACAAATCAGCTTTGATTGAAGAAATAAATCTTCTCTCCACAAGGAATTCAGTGAATGGTTGTCAAACCATAATTCACACTGTGTTGCACACTTGTGGTATAAACATTGTGAAATATTCCGGAAATCTGTGTGGTAAATCATAAACACTTGCGTTCAATCCAGTGGGGTAACATACCACATTTCAGAGGAACTCACTAACCTCACAGTTCATGTGGAGAGAGCTGACAATAGGATTGTCCTGGGTGTAAAGCTGGGTTGGAAGCGGATATATTGGCATCACAGCCCCTAATCCTCTACTGCCAAGCCTCATCGCTGGCAACATTAGCTGTGTTGTAGGGTAATGTCTTCGTAATAGAGACCAGGCGTGCATTTACACCATCTGAGGCTCAGGTGTGAGTGTGGTCTACGCTGACATTTTACGCCAAGTTTACACAAGTTTACGCACAAACGTGTCCGAACGGAGGGATGAAGAAACCCCAGCAGGACCTAGTCCGATTCTCTGTGTGATGTGTTTAAATCGATTATCTGGTTGAATGTTCTGTGCACAGTTTGTGGTTCAAGTGATGGCCCATATGACTTGAGTTGAGAAGGAAATCAATATGGATATATATCCTCAACTGTGAGCTATGTGTTCTGATGAGCTTCTTGACTGCAATGTTGTGGAGAAAATCGTAGCCTTGTGAGGAGAAGCTTGATGATATAAGAGTTATTGGATATCTGGTTACACTGTGTAGCTCCAGATGAAGTGGTTCGGATGTTTCAGTGGCCGCAGCCACAGCAGGAGGGGAACAGGTGGGTCACATGCTCTGTATTGATTCCAGCAGATTTATACAACACTTAAGTCGTAGCTTATTGTTTTATCAGACCGTGGTCTAGTGGATAGAGCGTCTGCCTGGAGAATGGAAGGTCGGTTCGATCCTCGGCCACATCATACCAAAAGATGTTAAAAAATGTTCCTTGTTGTTACCCTGGTGCTCGGTATTAAGGGGATAGAACATGGAATGGTAAAATATGGCTCGAAGTCGGTATGCTGCATGCATATGGCTTTAGGTACATAATCTTGAACACGACACATTAAACCCCTTTTACGTAATCATCACAATCATGAGGAAACTTTGTTGATAATGTCATTCCCTTTGTAATGTGTGGTCTACACTGGGGTATGATATCGGAACATGCTTTGAGCACATGACAATATATGTTTTGTTTGTCTTCAAGATTAATAATTCCTCATTTCTCTTCGTTTCTGTGCCATGTTAGAGCCTATATACTCGCTGGAACTGTTCAACATCTTCACAGGACTGGAGATATTCTTAGCAAAATTTCCCTTTAATTTAATTGATACGAATTAATCTTTACAGACTTTCAGAAACAGTCGATAATGTTTTATATCAGATTACAGACTATGATGAAAAAGTGTGTTTCGTTATGACACAGTTCATATCTGCACCTGACCGTATGGGTCAGCTGTACTGAAGAGGGTATCTGAGTTAATACTGGCTGATTAGTATACTCATTCTGGGCTCATGTCAGAAACAGAGCAGCCCCAACAAAGCTACACATTATAACATGGCCTCACAACAGTCATGGCAAAGTGGGTTTGAGAGCTAATTTCTTTTTACTGCTGTACTGCCTACAGATATTTGTTGTATAAAACTACAGACCCGTGTCTTCATTACCTCCTGTTTCTCTGCACGTGCCATTGTCAGTAAGTGTACACTTTTTATGTGCTGTTGTCAACACCATTGTCTGCCTGTATGTTTCAAGGTATGATATTATCTCTGGCATTGTCTATGCTGGGGTTCAGCAGGGTATACTATGTGTAGTCTATATATTGCATGAACGGTGTAGACGAAGCACTGGCAGTGTAATTTGATCTGGGAAAAATGTTGCAGTGGAGGATGGAGAGCTAGTTGTGTGAGAGTTTGTGGAGTGTAGGAGAGGACTGGGGAGAGAGTGTGAGAGTGTCGGCCCAAGTGGGTATGGCTGGAATGTGGGTTCCTCGTGGAGAAAAGCCTGCCCTTACCCAATGGGGTACAAATATCTGCACTGTATGTCATCTGTATGTGGAGAGAAAAATATAGTTTGACCTGGATTTGGAGGGGTGACATTGGGTCACTATTCTTTCAGGGATTTATCTCGACCTGTTCAGGCTGAATCTATTGTTCGGCCCCTAGTCTATGCAGCAAACGAAATGTCTGTAAAACTTCCCAAATTGGAAAGAAACAATTTTCCCATTTTCTGCTGTTATATTCATAACTAATGTCATGTATTAGTTGAGGTGACATCAGGACCAATATAGGGCAGGAGACTTTAATGCTTAGTTTAACATTGTGGCATTGAATGCAATGTTGTCATTTGATGTTAAATTACCTCTGAATTTAGGAAACTATAAACTATCAATAAAATCCTAAAATTGAACAAAGTTATGATATTTTCCCAATTTGCCTGCCAAGGGCCCTTAGGAATCCTTTATAAGACCTTGTCTGTATGGAATAGACACTTGACTTTCAAATTGGACTGAGATTTTAGCTCACTCATTCACTCACGAATGAACGAACGAACGAACGAAAGAACGATTGACCCCCTCCATGGTCTTGTGGTAGAGCGTCCGCCCGGAGAGCGGAAGGCCGTGTCATACCAAAAGACGTTAAAAGATGGTACTTGTTGTTACCTTGTCTGGCGCTCAGCATTAAGGGGCTAAAACAAGGACTGGTCGGCTCGGAGTCAGTATACTGTGTCTGAGTGGGGTATTCATGTTAAACTGCGGCATGGTATCTCAGTGGGATTAGCACTAAAAAATTGGCATTAGTCTGGACTAGTACAAGCAGCCACACACACAGGTGCATGCACGTCGTTTTATAGGTGCAATTATCATGGACGCGACACTTTTCCCAATGAAATTGCCCAGATTAATCATTAATGGACATTGTGTCAATTTGCCGTTTGTATACTACTCAAAAGAAGTTAAGGAACACCCAAGTTTCATGTGACTGTGGTGAATCAGTCCTGTCTTTTGTGTAGTACAATGTATATGAAGACATTGCCGGCAGTAATCATGGTAATCACCCTGAAGGGACGAGGAACGATGTGGCTATAGATGTATCCAGGCGTGATAGCGATCTTAATCCGTAAGCAAAAGTTGATTGAGAAATGAGGGCATCTGCATGTTCTTAATGCAGAACGTGAACGTGTAACCCTTTGAATTACATGTGATCCAGTTTGCAATCATTGACTCAGGAGAAACTATCATATAATTGCTGACCGTCAATTTTCATCTAGAAAGTCTAGAAGTGTAGATTTTCCACAGGTTCTGAATCACCTGTCAAAACTCGGGCTCCTTTTCAAGTTATATGTAGTTGTTTGTTTCTGTCAAAATGATATATTTTCGGAGACTAAACGTTAGTCTAGTGGTACAGACTGCAGTATGTTTGAATCCAATTATGATCCTTAGTACCAAATGGATACCTATTTTCCTTATTTGAAGATTTTGTGCTAACCAATAAACTCTGACAGCTTGGTTGGTTGCTTGCTTGCTTTGTTGTTTTACGCTGCACTCAGCAATACTCCAGCTATATGATGACGGTCTGTAAATAATTGAGTCTGGATAAGACAATCCAGTGATTGATATCATGAGCATCCATCCAAGCAATTGGGATACAATGACATGCATCAACCAAGTCAGCGAGCCTGACCACCCGATCTTGTTAGTCGCCTCTTATAGCCTGAAATGAAACCTGTTTTTGTTGGTGTTACTATCTATTTTGCTAATCCGTCGTAACAGTGAGTGAGTGAGTGAGTGAGTGAGTGAGTTGGGTTTAACGCTGCTTCTAACAGTATTCCAGTTATATCGCGGCGTGTCAGCTTAATGTGGGAGGAAAGCCCGAAGTGATGCAGGTCTCAGACGTTTACCACTTCGGTGAAACCCACGAGCACGGGAATGGTGCTGACAAACCGTCTAACAGACATAATCATGATAATAGTATGGTTAGGTAATTAAATATGAAGTCAAACTGTCTCCTTGTATATATTATTGCTCTTTTTAACACAGGTTGGTTGAATCCATAACCAAAAGATTTAAAAATTATTTGCCTCATCATGCTAAATGCTGTATGACCTGCATCACTTAGCATGCTTAGGGCGTTCTCCCTCATTGAGCGGACAGGCTGTGATCATGGCGATAACACTGAAATACTATTTACAAAAATAACAAATTTTTTTGTTTGATTTCCTCAAAATGTTAGTAAGCCATGCTTGTGTGAAGATACAGCGAGGCAAGTTTAGAATTACCTCACTTCCGTTAAAGCCACAGATCTGTCATGACTTGTAATTTGTGATTTGGTTTTAAGATTCAACAGGGTTTGGTGATAGTATTTTAAGTAATTTATTTATATTGATAAAGACAGTGAATGAATTTGTTTTGGAGATTTTACTTATTTCTGGTCCGTGGAAGAAAACAGGAACATCTGGTGGACATCTGCACACCACAGTGGTACAGCAGTAGGTACCATCACTCACTCTCACTCCAACATGGTGGCTATCAGTGCCACGTGGGCTGACTCAGGTGCGAGGGAATTACTGTGTTTATACACTCTCTCTTCACTGGAATCAGCCAACAATGACCAGCACCTGATACAGGGCATTCAACACTGGTGCTCCTGGCAACATCTTGTACCGGGGCAGATAGTGGAGTTATGGGGGTGTACATAGCTGGGCCTGGAGCAGAAATGGCAGGTTGGGGGTGGGGGGGTTTAGGTCTAACCCGCGTTGTATTGTATGAACCATTTGGGCATATCTAGCATGGTGGTGATGAGAGACGTTTGTAAACTATGTACCTGTAATTTCTCTCAGGAAGTACCGTATTGGACATAAATTGAAACTTTCTTTTGGTGTTTTATCTATACTGTGTTTTTGCAGATATTTATGGACTTTTTGTCAAATAAAAGTGTGACTAAATGTTTCACACTTTTTAAATATTCAACATCAAACTTATACAAGATATTTTATTGGTCAGATTTTTTTATTCTTATTTGTTGGGACAGAAACTACCTTAGGTTTCAATTTGGGTGACAGTAGATTGTAGATGTAGAAAGGAGACCTGAAAATCTCTTCATTTCCTGACATTGAAGATGTCTAGAATGCTGAACTGTTATGGTTTAGCAGGGGATATTTTGGATGAGTTGTTTTGGGTCTGTATGGCATCAACCGCAACAAGGGTATTTTCAGGTGGTCGAGCTAGGTAACTTGATTGATTACATACAGTCATACCCCTGCATACAATATCAATCACTGGTTTGTCTGGTCCATTGACTCAACATTTTATGGTCGACATGTATGGCTAAGTGCAGGGTTGAACACCACACAAAAACGACATTTAAAAAGCACTGAAAGACAATTGAGGGCAGTGATTAGCTTAAGCAATTGTAAGGAGACATAAAATCACAAGCCTTGGTCCAGAGATGAAAATCAGAGAGAGGAGGTCTTACCCTTAGCCTAGCTAGAGTTAGGCTAGGTGCTCCGAGGCACCAAGACAACAACCACTACAACTATGTGCTGACCTGGCACATAGTGCTTCTTGTATGTATATGTCTACCTGTAAACTTCTACATACCGCAAGCCATCGACTTGATGTTAGCACTTCCCACCGAGAACCAGTAATGCTGACCCAGTGCATATGCGAGTATGCAAATAACATATCAACGTCTCACCAACATGTTGTTAGATACAGTAAACTATGTTTATAACAAACACGCTTATAACGAACTGGCGGATATACCAAACTCTTTTTGGTC